CTCCACAAAACCAGCCCTCCACGGCGTCACGTTCTGTATATATATATACATATATATATATATATACGCCCTGCGGGGAATCAACCAATCGAAGCCACAATAGAAACTGAAATGGAAGCTGGCCTTTTAGTGGTTAAAGGGCTTCGGGTTTCCCAGAAATAAGGGTCCTTATCTTGCAGGTCCGCATTCTAGCTCTTCATGGAAACTACCACATGACTGTGATGTGCTGCCATTTTCCATGGCCATATAGTCATGATTCTGGCGGCAAAGCAAATTCCGCATTCCAGCTTCCACGCCTTGGAGCGAACACTGTTTTCGATGGTTTGAAGCATATGAATCATACGAAGGCTCGCATGTTGAATCCTTTCACACAGTACGCGCACTCTCCAACATGATTCGCCGGTCATCGCCGCTGCCAACTTGGCATCATGGTTGCTATAGATAGAAGTCATGTAGGAAGTACAACTGGCTGGAAAGCATCACCGGTGCTACCGACAGATCTTCCCATACCCTGCTAGACCTTCTATGTGCCATGGTCAGCCCTCTGCCGTCCTTTGCCAGGACTTGTTTCTGTACCTCGTTTCCCCCACCCCCCAATGCTCACCGAGCGTGATTTCAAAGATAAGCTTGTGAAGAATATCCGCATGCCCAGTTGGGCTTTTGAATCCTCGGGGCTACCCGCCCAAGAGACGACTTTACCCCAAACGCGGCGACTTAAGGTACTCCAGCGCTAACTTACCCACGCTAGGCATCCATTGGACTCATTAAGCTGCCGGATATTGCAGGACAAGTTGCCGCTCGTTGGGGAGGTGTCGCTGCCCAGCGCACGGATCAGCCTCGTCTTCCCCGAGCCTGCGCGGCCCACGACCGCCACAAGCTTTCCTTGCAACTTAGTGGACAAGTAGAGGTTTTAACTCGGGCAACAGAGGGCAAGTCGCCAGAGGGCCAGAATGGCGGGGTTTCCGCACGCAACCCTACAGCAAGCATCTTTTGCAGCCCTCCGCCTTGCGGCACCTTCACGTTGATTCCCTGAAGTAGTTGCCTGCCTTCAAAAGTGAAGTTCAAGTTCTCCAAGCGCACAGGAATTAAGTCAGTTCGGACCATGGATGGATCATGCGAGGCGGGAAGTGAGAGGATGTCCTGCCGCAAAACAGACGTCTCATGCACGCGGCTGTCGATCAACTCTCCCAGCTCACGCACATCCGTGGCTCGATTGAGAAAGACGGTAAGATCAGCCAAAGGTCCAAATTTTGAGACCACTTTCTTTATTCTTGAAAAGCCATCAGCAAAATTCTGGCCCACTTCCTTGAAGACCGAGATTGTGGCCAAGAAAGTCCCTAGTGAGAGCTTGCCCGAGAGAACAAGAGGTGAATAGAATGCTACATATCCCCCGACGAAGAGCGGACCTAGCCAGCCAAAAAAAAACTCGCTGCGCATTTCGTAGGCGGCATATGGTAACCGCACCTCGCAGAGTTTTGTAGCTCGAGCAGCAAACTTATCATTCATTGCCGGTCGCTGGAAGTAGCTGGCAATGAGCCGATAGTTTTGACTTATCTCACTGACCAGGTCACTGACCAGCTTCTCGGAATCATCGGTTTCTTCCGGCTTGTGCAGCACAGCCTCACGCAAGCACGCCCACAGAGCCATGATCACTGGCATTGCCATGGCTGCCCAGGCCACGTCAGGGTCGCTGGACACGGCAAAGTAATTCAACACAAGCAGCTTCCCCAATGACTCGCATATGGATGATATATCATCAATGCTCTGTGACAGCTCAGCGGCAGTATCAATAACAAATGTTTGCACCTCATGTTGTGAGACTTCAGCTCGTGAGCGATCGCTATAATTCATATATTTTCTCATGATGGATGTCTGCAAGAATAGTGCGCAGCAGCCGCGGATATCCATCTGCAACTTCGCTTCCTTCCAGCAGTGGAGGAGCAGTGGGGCCAAGACATAAATCAAGCCTATCAGCTGAGCTGTCATTTCAGGGTCTCCGGGGACCAAAAGCTCCTGTTCCATAGCGGCATCCTTGCTGAAAATGACGTTCACCATATAGACTGACGAGACGAGCATGAACCACACATACAAATTCTTCAGCTGATCAACAGCCAAGGTCACAGCTAGTCTCCATGCAATGCTAGGCACTGACATAAGGAGCTTGACAAACTCAACAAATAGAAACAGTTTGTTCATCTTCGCCATGCCGGTCTCACCCTGCTCCAAGATGTGGGCATAAGTGCTGGAGGGGAAGAAGTCCGTGTCCAGCACTTTGACCCGACATACTTGTAAATACTTCCCTAGCTGGCAGCCAACCGGGTTCTCCAGGACGACTTTGAATTCAAGCGTCGCCATCCAATCGGGATTGTTGAGGATCCCAACAGGGATGCTCTGCTCATACTGGCCATGCTCAAAAGTAATCAGGCCTTCGGTATGCACATATCGACTGCCAGCTTTTCCAGAACAGTCTTCTGTTCTAAAGGTGCACGTAACTTGACCGGATAGAGACCCAAGCCTCATCAACTTGACCCTGAACTCGGAACCCTCTTTAGCAACAAAAATGGGCGCGGCAAACTGGATGATGTCCAAGTGGTCTTCGGACTCCGGCTTGGCGGCATCATCGTCTTCGGGCTTTATGCGAGAGTAATGAAAACCATCTCCCAACTCCCGGCTGTCGCGACTTTGGCGACGATATGCAGACTTGCCACCGCATACGCCCATGGCTACAGGGGCCACCTTTGAGCTCCCACTGTGGATCCCACAAATTGACCAAGACCTCTTTAAGGTAAGAAATATACCTTCAATCATGTTAGAGATCCTAATATCATGTGAGGCATATCCCTCATTCAAGCGGAATTTTCTACATATATACATATACGTGTGTGTATGAAAACATATTTGTTTACATGAGTTCCCATTTACTCCAACATGTCTAGCCCTACAATGGTTTGCGGGTTGACTACACAGGAGTTGTGTGCTGGCATCATCGCACGCGGCATATCCTTTACGTATCCATGTGCGTTATATTAAATCATACTATTTGTCTTACCTCATAATATATTACATGCTAATACTGTATTATACTTCTAATATTATATCATATATAAAGACCTCTACATCCATGATGCTTAGCAATGCCAATCTAGTGGCAGCCCGCTCCTGACCCAGTTTCCACGATGAGGTGCGCTTTTTGCCTTGTTCTCCTGTTCTTGTATTGTCCGCCAAAACCTGTTCACAAATCCTCAATCCCTGCTCCAAAGCTCCAATGCATGCAAGCATTATCCTTGCCACATGTTTCTGTTGATGCACCGGTGGAGCTGACATTGGACTCTTTACAAAAAACCATGCCTAGCCACTCCCTTAAACTATCTCTGCAAACCCAATGTTTATATGCGTCCCGCTTTGAGTAACTCTCACTGACACTGATAGTCAGCGTGGCCTTCTTCAGCTCGTCTCCAGATTTCCAGAAACGCCTCGGAGACATGGGGGATGTCGCTGTTGCGAAGTAGTTTTTTGGACGGATACTGGGATTCTGAAGCCGATTGCCAAGGCTAAGAAACAGCCACATGGGGATTCACGGCAAGTATCCTCGGGATGGGATCCGTTGAAGGATTCAGGGTCTACAGGATGTTCCCCAAGCTCAGAGCAAGTAGTTGATTTCTGGGTGCGCAGCTCCTCGTAGACCTGGGAAAACATCAACCGTTGGAGTGACAAGCAGGATTAATGTGGTGGGTGATCGCAGGATGAATCTAGGTAGTATTTGGTCATCCTGCCCACAGCGGTTTGACTTCTGCAAATACGAGCGGGTCGCGCATCTTTTGTAAGCACTGGGCACGGAGCGTTGTTGCCAGCTCTGTGAGGAACCCTCCGTCAGCCCAGTTAGCAGCCTCCCTAAGCAATACTTCCTGCACTCACTGGCAGGATTTTCGAGGTGATATGCTCTTGAACCCTCATCTCCACTGGCATGATGATTGGCATGAAGACCGTCGGCTTGCATGAGCTGTATGCACCACTGTGAAAAAAGCACATGACAGGGGCTGCGTGACAGGTGTAATAGGGATATCATGGCTTCCGGAATGCCAAACTAGTCTTCTTTCTGTGCCAGTCACCGTAACGCACGGCAGCCAAGTCATGCTGATCGCCGCGGATGTAAGGTGCCAGGGGCTGGACCAGGGTATCGTTGTCAGGCTGTAGAAAGAGGATGTTTGATTGGCGTGCGCACTTCTCGTCAGCACCTGCAGTCATGGCATGTGAGCACACACGGTGACGCAAAGCCCTCACAGATCCGTTTGTCAGGATTTCCAGCATGTCACCTGCAAAAAGAACCACAAAACCTGGAGGGGGCTCCAACGTTTGCCACGAGCCTCTGATGAAGGCTTCGAGGCCGGGACCATTGCTTTGTTGAAGGGTCAGAATGCCGTAGTCAGTGTGTTCTGTGCACGAGCCATTGCTTGGGTACAGGCTGTGACGCAGCCGGCTGCCTGCCCAACTTTCGGAATCTGTCAAAACATTGGCCCCCAAAGTGCCTTTGGGCTCCTTCTCCAATTCCGTAAGCTGAGACAACTCCACGGCTACAAGCCGCGACAATGTCTGAAGCATGGACTTGAAGCTATCAGGAATCCATCTCAGATCCTTCCAGGACTTGCTGTTGGCCCTTAAAGCTGTCTGACCAACTCCAAAGTTGTACCGGACATCTGGCGTGTGTTCTTTGGACTCGCCTGACAGGGTACGAAGCAGATCCTCGCCTTGGGAGAAGCGGAGTTGGTGAATGCGCGCCGGGGGTCTCGCCTTGAATGCCTCAAAATCTGAGGTTGCGTGTTGCCACAACTCACGCCAAGCAGCATAATCTGGTGGAGGAAGCTGAAGGCCTTCATCTGCGCTTGGGACGAAAACCGCCCCGCAAACACTGAGGGCAGCAAATAGGCCCTTACCACCCTCTTGAGGGTCATAGCATGGCACTCCTTCTGAAAGGGAATCATCCCCCACAGCCGCAACTCCAAGTCGTCGCCGCTTGGCCAAGCCGGTCATCTCAAAAGCAGGCCCGACAAAGAGAGCATCTTCGCTTCGCAAAACATTGGGTATGAGTTCCGACGGAGGTAGCGCAAAGCCTCCCACAGAACAAAGCAGCTGAGAGCACTCGCTTTCGAGATACCGCTGGTGAAGTGACAGCAGGAACGCAGTAACAGTCATACAGTCACTCGGAAGTGCAATGAGCAGCTTGTGTGCCCCATCCCGAGTGGCAAGGCTGCCGTGGATCTCCAGGCGGATCCTTGCTCTAGGCATAGTCATTCAGCTGTTTCCATCGCTACTGCCTCTGCTGGAAGCTACTCATTTGTCGCAAATGGGAGGAAAGGCATGGAAAAGATGTGTCTCCTGGTGTGATGGGATGGCAAGCTGCCGCAGCTACACTCCCTGGTGCAAAGCTCATCTGAAACATCGATTCGATCAACATCAAGTGCTGTGGAGCAAGTCTGACAGGGCCAAGGCAATTGAACTGGCTGATACATGACTATGCTCGCGTACAAAATCTCAACAGCTCCAAGTCTCTGGACTTCATTTGGATCGGTTCAGGGGTTCCAGGAACTCCTTATATGAATCTATGACTGTAATACTATATTCGGGTCTACACTGGGTTTCCCCCATGTATGGAGACTACCAGATACTACCAGCATCTGCGCAATGAAGGCGTGGCAAGAAACCTGAGTCCAGTGCGATGGCCGCGGGCCACTTCCCTTCCTCTGCCATGCCAAGGCTCCATACATCCAAATAGGGGTACGCCAGCGTAGATCCCAATATGTGATTCTAAGGATTCCCAAAATGGGACCACTCTTAAGACATGGAGTATATGGGCGGGGTCTTCCCAATAATAGAGAATCAAATGGAAAATCATGTGGAACATGAAAGGGAAAATTCCAGCCACAGCTTTCATGTTTCACTCTAAACATGCCAAGTGCTGTACACACCTGACATGGGCCGATGGCTTTGAGAACAGCTCGGACCAGTAACTTCCCAATCTTGGGCTCGTGGCAGGCAACCCGGAGCCTGTCCTTGTGGTGTTTGCGGATCCGCTCCAGGTATGTGGCTGTCCTGTGAAATTAGCCGTGGGCATGCTGTGTGAGATTGCTGAGCAGTAAGTCCCTTTTCTATCGCCCGGAAATGGAGGCATCTTCTGAGTGAGGGACCATAATATACCTATACAATCTTTCTAGTAGATTCCGTTGTAGACTTGAAACTCAACTCTATCTATGCTCTCTGCCGCCACTTAGCTGCCTGACGAAGCAAACTCAGTTGCTGGCTGCTCTGGATCGATGGCATGGTGAGCGGTCCAGTACCTATACTGGGCATGCTTGCTGGCAACGACATGCCAATGCATACATCAGAACGTGCAAGCAGCACCAGTAATATGGTCAAAGGATCTATGAAAAAAGCCTGGCCGCACTTTTGACTGAAAACTGCAGCCGGCGCACTCCAACTGCACTAAGGTCACTAGAAAGCTACTAAGAAAGCTACTAATCGTCATCGTCGCTGAGTATAATCCGACGCCGCTTTCGTACATGGGGCGTTGTTTCCGGCGGGCTTACAGCACTCCTTGCTTGTGCTGGACGGGTTGTGATCTCCACCACAGCCTGTGACTGGGAAGCATCGGACACACACTCCTGCACCTGGTCAGCCTCTGCTTGGGCAGTCACATGCTTATCGGATTTATTTGTTGCTGATCTGTCCTTGCGTTGCTCTGTCATGGCCATGTAATCTCGAGAAGCTTCGTCAAGCGTGGGACGCAATGGGCCCAGTACGCGCTTGACGCCTGGGGCTGGTAAACAAGCAGTGTACCACCGCCTTCCACGAACAATCTGTGGCCGAACGCCTTCAGCAGGAGGCACTGTTGCAGGTGGGCTCAATTGCCACGTTGCCGTAACCTTGCTGATAGCATCACTCCACTTAGTTCTGTGGCTTTCTGCTTCTACTTCCAACTCCGCGCGGGCCGCAGCGAGCTCTTGTTTACCAGGGCAGTCGCGACGATATTCGGACATCTTCTTCTTCACCTGTTCCATGTCCTCCAAGCAGTCTTCCAGAGGCTTGCGGAACTGTAGTGCCAGGCGCATGAGCTGGGTGCGCTGCTCGCGTGTCAGTGCACAGGCCGTGGCTTCTCGAGGCCACAAGGCTTTGTCACTTCGGTAGCACACAGCCACCTGACAAGCCTGGGGACCAGTTTTCTTGTGCTCCGGATTACTCGGCTTGGCTTTTCCATTTGCAATGAGCGGCTTGGAGGATGAGGAGGAGGAGGAAGAAGGTACAACCGCTTCAGGCGCTTCAGGCTGCTTGGCTTCTTGCCTCTTGGCGAGGGTCCTGGCCTTTGGCTGCGGTGAGTCAATTTGCGAGTTAGGTGCTGGGACAGGCTCGGCAGCCAGCTTAGCTACAGGGACATCATCCGAGTCTGAGGATGTGGAGCTGGAGCTGCTGTCGCTGTCAGAACTACTATCATTTTCAGCTGCTGCAGCTGTCTGCTTGACGCCGTCTTGAGCTCTCGGAGATGGTGGAGGAGCTGGAGTGCCTGTTGATGCCCAGGAGGACAGGGGCATGTCATCCTCCAGCTCCCGATTCCGAGAAGGTTCATCAGGCTTCTCAAAGCCTTGTGGTCGGGCAGGCGCAGCGAAAGTGATCGCAAGAGCTTCCTCTGCCGGAAGAGGTTTCAAGGGCCAGGTCCGGGCCTTCCCAGTCAGGTAGATCCTATGCGCCTGGTCGACTTCCTCTTCGTTTAACCCCTTGGCTAGCAGGAAATTCTTCTGCTTGTCCCACTCACTTGCCTGAGCGGCCGGATGGGCCAGGAAACTTGCTGCAAGCTCGATCTGTCTTTGCTTCTGGGATGTCCCTGCCATTGCAGGAAGTTCTCAGCTAGCATCTGTTGACTTCAGGCACTATGGCCCGAGGCCCGACATGGACGCGCAAGGGCAAAGGTGGGGTACATAACCAAACAAGGCCATCGAGTGGCTTAAATGAGGTTTATGGCTTTGGTTGTTGCACCTGGTCTGGGCTGTGACGCATCATGATTGACAGTATCAATCATTCCATGTTCTGATGCCAGACATCTTCTTCGATGCACATCTAGCTTGTCGTGATCACCTGCCTGCGTTTTTCCAATAAGCTTGAAGCCGAGGTGTCATGAAAAGCTGTAGAATACATGGTGCTTCTCGGCAAGCTGTGTTCACTTGTTAAGATTCTGCAGAGTTTTGCAGCACAGCTTTTTTCCCATTTCACTCTCAGCTTCCAGCACTTTCGGCACGCCCTTCTTGTACCAGCGGTTGTCTCCTCCGATGTTGGTGCATCCTGAGTAGCTGTGTCTCGCATCTTGAAAAGCTGCATCAACATGTGCAAGTCTCTGCAATAAGTACTGTTTTTGGTTCAACCACCAAGTGCGATTGTATTCTTATTGCTGAAGAGGGCTCGTTACGAGTGAGTACTCCAGCATGCAGAAAGAAGAAGCCCATGATTGCTTCGGTTCCATTCACTTGCTGTACAAAAGAGTTTCTTTTTGGTGCTGCTGCAGAACAGCCGCCCAAACGATTCAGGATATTCTTTTTCATCTCATATCGACTTGGTAAAGCCATCTCTAAAAGCCCTGAGCTGGCTGCCGATGCCGTTCGTGCAGCGATGGCCGTGAGCGGGTGTCCACGACAGCAATGAATCGAACTCGACGGTCGCCTTCCATCACTTCAAGGAATCCCTAGAAGAGGCCATACAATTGGGATCCAGAACTAAGCTCCTTGACCGAAGGGGTCTCCTTGACTCATAACTAGCAAGCCATATACCTCGCCCCGCCCCCCCCCCCCTCTGGTTGTCAGCATCCTTTCCCCACGACACGAGTTTCGACAGAATTGACGTCCCTAAGAAGCCTTGCTGGTGCCACCAGGGAGTCATGAACAGCATAATGACAGCGCTAGTGACGAAAAGGCGCTCAAAACTAAATGAAACGTTCACACAACTGCGGGCTCCCCCTCCGGAGTCCTACAAATGAAGATCCCAGTTTCGGGCCTTCGCAGAAAGCTTCTAACGATTTCAGGTCAGAAAACCAACATGAATCGCAAAGGAACAGACTCGGACGAAAGCAAGAACCTCGCAGAATGAGAGCCCGCATGAAAACATGAAGCCGGAAGGCCGGAAGGCAACGCAGCACAACTCCACAGAAGCAAGCCAAGCCCAACAAAACTTCGCCAGCAAATTCACATGCCAGCGGCACAGGCACGTCCATCTTGCACCACTGCTTTGTTGCCCGCTCCTCCCACAAGCCAACCTGGGATTCTGATTTTGGATGCAAGAGTAAGATACAGCTGCGCCGTCCGCGGTCTTTGGAGAATCGAGCTTTTGTTCACCGATGAAGTTCAAACATGTGGGCATGTTGGCTGTTTGTTCTCGGGTCTCCTTTAAGGGCAGCGCGTTCAGAAGGTCCTCATCCTCATTGATGTCACCAACCTGCTGTCACCAAGAGGCACCATGCGTTGCTGCGTATCACTATCAAAGCTGCAGCTTCAATGCATATGCTTCCTTCAAAGGTCGTTGCGGTTGAATCCTTTCTGATCGGCAGTCATACATCGGCAAGTTGTGGCAGTGGCCTTGAGCCCAGGCGCATGGAAGCCTTTCACCTCAGGCAGCCACGTTCATCTGTTTCTTAAGCTGTCTGAATTGAAATCTCCGCAAGCCCTGCTACCATTACAGTTTGCAAAAAGGCCTGCAGGCTTAATGGAGTTTGGCTATGCAGGCTAGTGGGCAAAGCAGACTTTACAAGAGCCCCTGCCAGCATGAGTGCATGATAGCAAAATGTTTTCAAGGGGGTGTTGATGTAAAGCCCCAGCATACAGAAGTTCACACAGGTTTTTTGCAATCTTCCACCAGCTCAGGCGTGGGCTGTCACGTTCGGCAAGCGCTCATCGCGAAAGTGCCTTCCTCAAGCTACATGCAGTTCAGACAGGGTAGAGCCGATGAGAGCTTCGACCAGACTTCCCACTCCCTACGAGTAGGACAGTGAAATTGATTTTAATGTTTGGTAAGTTGGTAGCGATGAAAGTGGTTCGGAATACAGCGAACTTCGGCCAAACGGAATACTAATAAGGGTACCCATAACGACTGTTTGCCCCGTACGGAATAATTTTCAGATTAACGGCATAATCTGAAATCGAATCCAAGAGGATTGAAGTGAGGCTGAGCGTTCTAAGCCCAAGCGCAAATAAGAGTACTGCCTTTTGAATTCCGGGAACCCCTCCAACAACTTTCACAAACTTAATTGGAGGACCCCGTGTTATGTAAGGGTATTAGAAACGTCTAGTTGTTTGGTGGAGAAGGGCTTTACAATCAGAACCTGCCGTTTAGCATTAGAGCTGTGACTGCTGACTAGCTATCGACTTCATCATGCCCCCTTCGCCAAGGAAACCCCCTACCCTAAAGTCTACATCCTAAGTGTAGAGAGCAATGCCCAGGCGTCGGGCGGACCCATCTGCCGAAGAAAGGCAATGCCTTGGCAAAAGGCATATGTGGGCCCGATGGGCCCTAGCCAGTACCGCAGCGCTCCAAGTCAGTTCACGGCATTTCAAGGCGCACCAGAACATGCCTGAAAAATTGCACTGCGGAGAAACGCATCGGCATTTATGTGCTCATAACGGTGACACTCACATCACCTGAACTGCGAGTCGCTTTTGATACCCACATTCATTGCTGTCGCCCAGCCGAAAACTGTTTCAGGAAACGACAACAACTTCCGATGCTGAGAGGGTTGCATATCTCAATCATCTACCTAGCAGCTTCCTGCATAGCTGTACTGCTTAAATGACTCAAGCACCAAAGCCTGCTTTGCTGGCTGAGCAGCCCAGTGTGTCCACGTAGGATGGGCATGACACCATCGCATTGTCCTCATGAGTCTTCACATTGCTTTTACATAAGCACAAGCACATCTCTTCGAGTCTGCAAGCCGGTTGTTCTGAGTCACGAGCTGCATTGGGCAGGGCTTCTCTGGGTCTGGACAATACCTCCTCGGCTGCAGCAAGATCCGCAGCCGTGACAGTTCGCAGCACGTAAGAGTAGTAATGGCACTAGTGGAAAATGAGGACAGGACGACATTCACAAGTATGACAATGACAAAAACGAGGATGTAACGACAACAGCCATCACGCTGACCATGTCGACCAACGTCGACGACGACCACGCAGTACAACTGCTATTCCCACTGGTCTCTTTATGGAATATTCTTGCACTTCTTGTTCAAGTAAGCTTCTCCTACTAAGTAAAAGTAGGGCTAGTAGAGCTGGTGGTGTTGATGGCCTCATTGGCACTACTAGCACCAGCCGTACCAGCTGCAGTCATACTGATGCTAGGACCCCACTAAGGCACAGCAAGCATCTGGGCCTCAGACGGCCACCACGGTGCGGCTGGCTGGTCCTGGTGAAGCTATGTTGGTGTTTCTCAGGGCTGAGCTGAGCGCTGCTTGGCACGTTCTGTACAAGTTTGTGGCACAAGCAGCTGCATGCCTTGATGCTCCAATCAAGGAAGTGCGCAGGCATCAGGGGGAAGGAGTACTCCTGCAGCTTGAACTCTGAGGTCGCACGAAAATCTTTTGCAAGGCTTGCGCTGGTCCAGTCTCAAAACTGCAAATATCTGCAACAGCACTCAAACAAACTGCGCCAACCACGGGGGTGTATCCTTGTTGACCCATTTGCTCGTCAGGCTGAATAGCACGTCAGCTCCTCGGGGGACATGGAAATGATGGTTGCTGTGCGGGCAACGTGGGATGTTGACTAATTTCTTTGTGGCATGCTTTCTCACACCCTTGGAAGCAGGTAGCCTGGAACAAAAGCCTGGGGGTATTAGGCACGCCCTGTCTCCTGGTGCGACGAACTGGTCAACATCCACCTCAACGGCGTTAAGGGCCTCAACGGGTACCATCTAGTGGAGTCGTAAATAACAGCATTACAGATCGACTTGTAGTCACAAGTCACTGCAAATGGATGCAGGGCTGGCTGCTCGTGACATCAAAATGGCTCTGAGCTTGTTGAAGTTGAAGCTCCTTGCTGCAAGAACAGGTGTGCACCAGGAAGTTGCAGGGATGGGTCACGGCCTCCTGATGCGGGGTTCATTTGGCAACGGAGCAGCATGAAGTATGACCTCATTCGAAAGTTTGGCCCTGACGCTTACTGTTTTTATTCATATAGTTACGAAACATCATACGAATATTATCCGAGTATTTGATCTTTTTCCACGTTCACTGTGGGTTCTAATGGTTTGATGTGCTGTGGCCCGCCATCCCTGCGTGCTGTTCTGTCGCGCAAACATTTTGGACACGCCCTGAATCGTTAAAAATTGCGCTCTCGCTCGGAGCATCCTCCAAAGATCATCTTTCTATGTTGATATTCGATCTCAAAAATAGGCCGCTCTCCCTTTGAAGTAGTCTTGCTAGAGGGGTCTGTAACCGAACGGGTCGCGCCCCCATTCTCGAAAATCGCGCGCTCCCGCGCGGAGCATCCTCATAATTTCGTCGATTTATTTTGATCAATTTCTATGGAAATGACGCCCCCTGCAGAGCATTCAGAAAATTTTGCTCATTTATGAACGATGATGTCGGGGGGGTCGATACTGGAGCTATACTGAACGAGTACTGGTGTGATTCGCTCGAGGTGGTTTTCTTGGTTCAAAAAGGAGGTTTTGAGCAGAGAGCTCCGGTACAGCTTCGGTATGGGTTTCGCGACTCCGCCGTTCAAAAACTGAGCAACTTAGTGGATGGAAGCTATACCGATTCTATACTGGGCTTCTCCTCTCAAGCTCCTCTTCTTCGTTCAACATCGCGGTCTGGAGGGGAGTACTCTGGTAGTCAGCCGGTATAGCTTTTGTACAACCTTCGTCGTCTTTGTCATTCAAAACCTTGCTCCCGTGTGGAGCATCCTGACAATTTTTGAAGAAAAACGCGCTCCTGTGCGGAGCATCCTGAAAATTTTGAAGAAAATGCCTCCCGGGCCGCTCCCGTGCCGAGCCTCCTGGAAATTTTGAATAAAACTGCGCTCCCGTGCGGGGCGTCCTGAAAATTTCGAAGAAAATCGCGCTCCTGTGCCGGACATTCTGACTCTTTTTTTTGACTGTTCGTTCAAACTCGCGCTCCCGTGCGGAACCTCCTTGAAATTCAATTTAGATATACTAACTTACATACATACATACATGCATGCATACATACATACATACGTACATACATCATACGTACATCCCCAAAACAAACGGTTTGGGGCCTCCTATATGCGGGCCCTCACATATCTCCACTAGAGACTTATAGGGGGTCCCGCATGGGAGGTCGCAAACACCACAAAATCCTGCAAGTGTGGCCGTCGCTGGACCAAATCTGGTGTGATGTCTGAATTTGTGAAACTTCGGCGTTTTCTTTGTGCAATTCTTGGCCAAGGTGGTCCAAATTCGTGCAAATTTGATTTCGTGCAGAATATACAGCAAAATTGCTCCTGAGCTAGCAGGGCGGTTGCTGCAAGAGCCATTAATGCTCAGGAGCAATTTTGTTTGTTTTGCGAGGGCGAAATTGTTGCGGATCTGGTGTGATCTGCGTGGCTGTCTTTTCTGAAAAGGACCGCCCCTCCTTGTCCTTCATTTGAATAACACAAGGGGTGCCGTAGACATATCATAATATCGAACGCAAAGGACAAAGCGCTTGAGAAAATCTGGCGCCATCGAACCGCCCCTTGTCTGTCTCCGTACTAGGATAAACCAGCGGTTCGACAACACCAGATTTTCTACAAAAAGATGCTTCAGAAAATTTGGTGATATCGAACGGCCCCTTCTTTGTCTGTTATGTGAATAACACGAACGAGGGCTACCATGGACATATCATAATATCAGAAACAAAAGGGAAAACGCTTGAGAAAATCTGGTGCTATCGAACCGCCCCTTGTCTGTCTTCATACTAGGATAAGCCAGAGGTTCGACAGCACCAAATTTTTTTGACAAGGAGATGCTTGAAAAGATAAAAAGAAAATTTGAAGGGCCAGAAATCGCCGTTTTCTGAGACGTCTAGAATTCACCAGGAAATTCATCCCCAAAAGGAAGGAGCCCTTTGAAAGCCGGAAAATTGCTCTGTTTTCAACTAACACTAAGACAGAAATCACCGTTTTCTGAGCTTTCAGAATCTACTGGGAAATTCGTCCCGAAATGGAAGGATCCCCAGGAAAGTTGGAAAATGGCTCTGTTTTCAGTTTTCTCTAGTAATCTAATACAGAAATTACCGTTTTCTAAGCCCCTAGAATATGGCGGGAAATTCGTCCCCAATGGAAGGAACACCAGGAAACCCGGAAAATGGCTCTGTTTGGAAAATCAACTCTAATAGACAAATCGCCGTTTTCAGAACCTCCAGAATTCACCAGGAAATTCATCCGCAAACGGCAGGAAAGCCGGAAAATGGTTCCGTTTTCAATTAAATGCAGCACAGAAATCGCGATTTTCTGCACCCCTAGAATCGCCCAAGAAATTCATCCCCAAATGGAAGGAAGGAAAGCCGGAAAGTGGTTCCGTTTTCAATTAACGCTAGTACAGAAATCGCCGTTTTTTGAGCTTCGGGAATTCACCAGGAAATTCATCCCCGAATCAAAAATTGCGCTCCCGTGCGGAGCATGCTCAAAGTTCCGTCGATTTTTCGCTCAAAATCGCGTTCCCGTGCGGAACATCCCGGAAACTTTGATGAAAATTGCGCTCCTGTGCGGGGCATCCTTAAAGTCTCGTCGTCTTTTCATCAAAAATGGCGCTCCCGTGCGGAGCATTCTCAAAATTCGGTCGATATAAGGCTCATCAAGGTTAATCATAAGGGTATATCTAGGGGGTCATAAACCGTATAAATCCTCAAGTAAATTTACATGACGATTTTTCAATTTCGCCCTAGCTGATTATCCCCAAAGACTTCCGTGATGATGGCCAAAGCCCATATAAGGTCAAATCGCAGTGTCCGCCTAAGATTTCTCAGAGAATTGTCTCCCCTATTCTCAAATCGCAAGGTGTGTCCCCTAATTTATTTCAGAGACTCATCTCCCCAACTCTCAATTCGCAAGCAGTGTCTCCCTAAGGTGTTTCCAGAGAATCATTTCCCCAAGTCTCAAATCGCAATGGGTGTCCCCTAAGATTTTCAGAGAATCAAGTCCCCAAATCTGACATCGCAGGGGTGTCCCCCTAATAGTTTTCAATCGCAACGGGTTTCCCCCTAAGATGTTTCAGCGAATCAAGCTCCCAAATCTCAAATCTCAAGGGGTGCCGCCCTAAGATCTTTCAGCGAATCATTTCCCCGGTTTTCGTCTCGTTTTCTTGTTCTTGTTGATTTCGGCGGGCATCCTAATGGCATTTCGTTCAGATTCAGGTTAAACTACACATGTAGGGTTCTCTGGCCCTTTAATTATTATTGCTAGTATTGTAAGTATTATAAATATTCTTGCTACCCTTATTATTAACAATATTCTCCAGGCATAGGTTCCAGAGTCTGAGCTGCCGCGCCAGCTGTGGAAATCGCTCTTCCGACCAGGTCTTTGGAGTGAAAAGGCCAAAGTTGAACATCAGGATGGGATGTTCCCTGAGCGAACGTAGTTTCTGTCTTGTCTTTTGGCAGTTCAAATAAATGTTTCCGTATTATCTTTATGACGGCGATTTTTCGTATTATGATGATCCCCAAGCCAGCTTTGTGCAAATGCTAAGCCAGTACCACTTGCTCTAACAAAACATGGATCGACGACATTCTGGTTTTTGCTGCAGTTGCAGGGAATCGCCGCGCATACTCCTGAGTCTGCAGCGAGAAATAGTGAACAGATTTGATGAGCTCCTGCAGATGTGAAAGCACTGGCATCCTTCTCCCCACGCCTCTGACAAGATATGGTAGTTTCCCAAAACAAGGGGACCCCAATATTTACCCAAAATGCTATGATCATTATCCTCGGGACGCCTAAAAAGGCACCTCCAATCTGAAGAGACACCATATGGGTGGTTGTCAAAATTATGGCCCCTTTGTGGGTCCCTATTATAATACGGCCCCTAATATTTAGGGTACCCAAAAAGGGACCATAATTTTGACAACCACCCATATACGTACAACAAACAGGCAGCAACAAATGCGCTGTAGGCTAACATTTTGAACCTTTCTTTGGCCTCGGCCATTTTCACGAACTGTGAAGTTGGAGGCCCTCCAACGTAGCTCACCCATGCTTTCCTTGCAGCAGTTGCCTTACTGGGAGTTAGTAGGGAACCAGGGGATATAATATGTAGGGATTATATTCCCTTATTCCCGACAAACCCCAATATATACCCTATTGGAATATAGTAGTTTCCATTTTCTTTTCCATTAGCCCGTATCCCCAATATATTCTCTTGTTCCCTACTGAGAACCAATAAGTTGTTCCGGGATGGGAAGCCATAGTGGGATTCCATGATACCAGGCCGCAAAGCATGCGAACGGTCACGGACAGCTCACTACTTCCGACTACTAGGAATGTGGGGGTATAATGTAAGGGTAAAATATAAGGATAATGGAAAATAAAATGGAAACTACTATTTAGGGGATATATATATAGAGGAGATACATAGGGAATATATAGGGGCTATGTTAGTAATAGTGACTCCAAGAAATACTGGTGATTATGCTGGTGTCCTGTCCTCATATATTCCTATTATGTCACCATTGCAGGGCGGGTGGTCTACCTAAGGGCTCGGCTTCAAATAGTTTCAATCACCTCTGTGTAAGAATCACCCCCGGCCCGGCATCAAAACACGCAAGACGTGTACCCATCCTAGCCTTCGGAAAATTTAAAGCAAGCTCTGCATTTGCAACACAAAGGTGTGGTAACGACATTCCCTCAAAAGGGATAGTTTAAACTTGTCACCAGGCGCCTTGAGAAACATGTTCCGCTGCTGGCCACAAACAGACTCGCGGGTCTCCAACAGTGAGAATCCACAAAGGCATACTCCAAACATTCCGGCTTCTGTACATAAAGATCACGGAAGACGGGTCACAATCTATCCCTCCATTATAGAATCATAGTTTCCATTTGATTTTCCGTTATCCCTATGAATAACCCTAATACGAAGCCCTGAATCCCAACGGATAATAAAATCCACTTGGCCTGTACCAGCCATCTGTATCTCGAAGACGAGCCCAGTTCGTCTTGAACCGGACGTCGACTCTGGCACCTGGGCTATCCAGTGGGATTGGGGGGTTCATTATATTGGGTTTATCAACAGGGATAATGGCAAATCAAATGGAAACTACTATAATACAATGGGGGATAGATTGGGGATATATAGAGATAATGGAAAACGAAATGGAAATCTCGTGCAGCTTTGTATATGCATCCTGATGACTAGAGTCCTGCGATAGGTTTTGTGATATGGGCAGGCATGGGGCTTAGATCTGCCATCCTTCAAGCTATTCAAACTAGTAGGACCTGCCGAAACGGATCATGTTTCTGGTTTGTAAAAGAATCCTGCCTCTAGACAGATTAATCAGCAGCAACAAGCCAAACCCCTTCCTGCTGGTGCGCAGCATCCGTCAATCTAAGCCAAATGGGTCCTGAGCTGGGTATCTACGAAGAGTGCGTCGTGTTCTATGCTTCAAAGTGATGGTGTTAGTACGGACTTCGAAAACAGAACCTATATGAAGCCGCCGTATACTGGGAGGTGCTTCAACATGTGGCAATAAGTTCGTGGCGCAGAAGTTGCTGGCGTGTCTCCACGTTTATCTGCCGCGATCCGGCCTTTGGCGGAAGTTCTCAGAGCCCTATGATTCCAAACAGTCTATATCACTGCCAGCCAGGAAATCATCACTTGATGGAAGGATCATATTCACGATTCTTTGAGTGAGATCTTGCTTTGCAAGCGAGCACTCGCACGTGGCGACCTTCCTTCACACTGGCATTACTACTCAAATGTGTACCAGCTTTCTTTATTCTTCACACTTTCAGGAAGCTTTCAGGTTCGACAGCAACCCGCGAAGGTCTGAATGGTACTAGCAAGAACATGTGTTGGCTACATGCACCCAAGCAGAAGTTCGAAATTCTGGAACCTCCGGAAGATGAAGTGGAATTACAATTTCAGGACACCTTGAAATGTCATCTCCAGCCGTTGTCCCTAAACTCTACACTCTAAAGCCCCTCGGCTGGAGTTCGCCCTGGCCTTGAAGCTTCGATTGAGAAGGGCCTTCTCCTCCCAGGCCTCGTGACAGCAAAGAAACCTGATACTAAAAATCCTGCATGACCTTAGTATACCATGGTACAATAATTCCCAAACATGAGGTACCTGGGGTCATGCAGGATTTCAGTATCCACCGCAAAACCTCTGCCAGTGAAATCCTGAAGGTGCCCTTGAAATGGAAAACTGTTGTCAAATGATCCTGTGGAACATTATGAATACTTGGGGCGCTCCAAGCAACCGGTAGAACATCCAAACAAAACGGTCGATTTTTTTGCAAATTGCAGAACGTCACGAGCTTCACTTCCCCGCTGACATTGCGTGTTTCCTACATGGTACTTCTCTTTTCATTGAAAAAGATACCATACGTTGCGAAGTGGGAGGTTTTTAATCTGATGACCCATGCCTTACTCATGCTTCAATGTACGCTCTACACAAGCACCAAGAACATCCAACATGCTTCCTAAGGACAAAGGGAGGCAAACTTGCATGTCTGAAAGGAGCCCCCAAACTCCGTGTACCAAGGACCCGACCCTAAAGCAGATTCACTGATTCAACAAGCGTCTTGCAATCCTTGTGTGCTCCCTGCAAGGCCATCTACTTTTCTTTCCAATCTATACACCCCTGTTCTGCTCTGATTGCGTGTGTATTTACATACAAGCGCTATACATACATGCATGCATGCATGCATGCATACATCCATACA